CCATACCTTTGCCAGATATTGCCAGATCTGGGCCGACATCTGGCCACATGAGCAAATGTGGACTGGGCCAGATGTGGCAATGTCTGGGCCAGATCTGGCCCAAACATTGCCACATCTGGCCCACATCTGGCAAGCCATACGTGGGCCATACCTTTTGCCAGACATTGCCAGACGTTGCCAGATCTGGGCCAGACGTGGGCCAGATCACTGAGGCTGTCTGGGAAGTGTTTGCGTCAGATTTGTTAGATCTAGAACAATATATCTTGTTACAACTTGGAATTTTAATAGATCTCATCAAAGGCAAGTAATTACAATAATGTCCGAGACTAAGTATTTGTAACTTACGAAACTCTGGGCGGTTGAAATTTTTATTGATTTATTTTAGTTGACATACGGGCCTGCCAAAATTATATGTGCTTTGCGAAATTAGGCACGTCTCAAATGTGCGCGTTTTCTGCTGACATTTGTAACATTCAAATAAAATATAAAGCTTCACCCACTACCCCACATCAGCGTTATGTATTTTCTTCCATTATAACTATATTGGAAAACGATTGAAAATATCATTATGTCGCATTTTTCATATAAATATATCCTGCGAAGATATAATTATCAATTCCGACACTGACGCTTTTTGTCTTCTGTATTAAAGGTCAATGAAAGGGTTGCTGGACGGGGTTTTCGCGTCAAATCGTTTCTTCGGAAAAAAGAAAGAAAGAAAGAAATTTCCCCTACGTGCGTATCATTGCCCCACTCGACCCTGCACTGGGTTCAATGTCCCACCTTCAGTTCATAGTGAAATGTCGACACCAATTTATTTATTTTTTATTTTATTTTAATTAAATTAATTTTTTTATTTCTACTTTATTTATTTATTTATTGGGAAGGGGGAATTGTTTTTAAATGTTAATTCTGTTTAGGGAAATGTAGGTGACTTTCATGAGCGTTAGAGGATATATACAGTACGTAGATCAAAAGTAGATATGACAGGCGTTTGAATGGACAAACACGTACTGAGCGCAGTTTTGTTTCATGTAGTAGCTAACGAACCGGTATTCTATATATTAAATTGACCGCTACTGGCATCTCAGTCCTCGAATACACATCCGAGACAAGTTGTAGGTGCTGGGTGCTCTGACCTAATTGTGCTACGCATGCGTAAGTAACAACTTCCGTAAAGCCGGTGTGGGGAACCGAAGGTACATGTTTTGTATTATCTTCTACTAAAGGGCGTTTAAACCGGGTTTGGATAAGGAACAATTAATGCCAACGTGTAACTTTGACGCTAATGTATTGAATTAGCTATAAAATATTCTTAAGTTGTAAATATAGGTGCATTCTCAGCGTGTGTTTGAAGTGCATCCAAACGAACTTACGAAGTGAATGGATTTCTGAAGTATTTTCTGTTGTCATTAACGTTATCTCCGGGAAGCATTGTAAATTGGTAGTAAAATGGCATGGGAGTGGGAGCTAAGTCATGATGAGCTGGTTATTTTGACACCCCAATCATAACTGCTGTTGGTCATATTTTTTATTTATTTGATTTATTGCCTTGACATCTTATTATTAAGATTCAAGTGATGACAAGAAGTTAAAAAAGACGACTTACAGATTGTATTTAAGTGATCTTTATTTATCATTCTTCACCCTAATTATTATTGTGTACAATTCAGATAGACCAAGATGGCAGATGGTCAGCAGCAAACAAGCAGCTCGTATCCTCTTCCTCCCATGCAGTTTATTAACCACTACACAGATGAAAATGTGGCCAGAGGCAGAATTCCCAAACCACCACCCCCAATACAGGTAACAATTATTGTCCATTATCATGCCATTGCCTATTTACAAAATTTAAGTGAGGTTCAAGGTATTCTATACAGAATCTTTTGTGCCAAATTCACATTTCTTCGAGAGAAAAAAATCTTACAAATAATTTTTTTCTTGGATTTGATGTTTTGTACCATATTTCTAATCAAGTGATATTTCACAATTCAGACATCAGACAGGTTTTGAGCAGTTTTATCCTATTTTGGTAGTAAATTTTGATGGATAAGAAGTTTTACAGGATATTTAGATGTAAAGATATGACTTTCGAACATTTTCAGACATATATATAATACATCTTTTTTTTATTTTTCAGGATAGCTATGCTATGTTTGGGAACACATTCCATGCAGATGATGTCATCATTCGCCCCCTGGAGAGTCAGGGATTGCGCAGACTGTATCCACAGAATTACGACCACAAAAAAGAACTGAAAAAACTCAACCATTCTCTACTGGCCAACTTTTTAGATTTGCTGGACATTCTTATAAAGAGTCCCGATTCCCCGAAACGAGCAGAAAAAATTGATGATTTGAATCTCCTGTTTATTCACATACATCACTTAATCAATGAATTCCGTCCACACCAAGCAAGAGAGACATTGCGTGTCATGTTAGAGGTGCAGAAGAGACAGAGATTAGAGACTGCAGACAGATTTCAGAAACATTTGGAAAAAGTGTATGAAATGCTCCAAACCTGTGTGAGTTCTTTGCCTAGTGACACCAGCTTGGACAATAAGCTTCTGGTGAAAACGGAGGAAGAGACCGTCACGACAGAGACACAACAAGATGACAAACAGTCTGAGGGAGATTATCTAGATCTACGAGATGTAATGATGTGTGACATTGTTGATTCTATTACATGAATTTTGACTGATACAGCAGTGAAACAGTTTATGGTCGAATATAAAGATAAATGCCAACCCAGAGAAAGCCTGTAGCATGAAGTCATACTGTAAATGGTTTTGAATGTCGATCATTTGTATGGTAAAATTTTCTGTTTCGAAGTATTTTTTAATTCAGAACCATGGTGGATACTAGAAAAGACATTTACTGCCCTGTTTTCTGACTGTTGTGAGGAGTAACCGTGTGACATGGTTACAAAATAAATGTATTTGTAAACCCATCAGAACACTGCATCAAACATGTTGAAGACGCAGTAAAAAAGATTCTTCAGATGTGTCACATTACCGTAGATTCTTTCCAATTCTTGATACTTAAAAGTGGAAAATACTACAGCTCCAAAATGAATTCTTCAAATATTCATCGGTCATGTAACAAAACCATGTTTTGTCCTCATCTTTTTCCTCTTTAATTCCACTGCTGACATCCCCAGTTCAGTGCATGTGAAAGGTAATTGGCAGAAATAACTGGCCACACTTCAGAAAATTAAGCTTAAACTTTAATGAAAGAAGTGAACACCAACACATTTTTATACAAGTACATTTATAGCATTTATTCCAGTAAAGATATAGCAACAAAATGGCCTATTTTTTTCTGTAATAAAAATTTGGTTAATGATTCAAATAATTTGATAAGTCACTTGATGGAGAAAGATTTTGACAACTCATATATTTGAAGTCCTTCATAAAAATTCTTGTGATAAATTCAAACCAAACTCACAAGTATAAAAGATAAAATTTTGTTATCAAACGAACTTTATAAGAAGCTTCTGAGATTCAAAATTAAATCCTTTTCAACATTTCAATAGAATGTTAAAATTACTTGCAGGTAATGGATTTTTAAAAATCGTATAAAAGATTATGCTAAACAAATGTAGCCAAAAATATACGACATAATGTGCTGATTTTAAGATAAACCTATGTGAAACCAAAATTTGGCATCTTAATCATATAAGAAATGGTTCAGTGTCACAGAATCTTTTTGACAAACATACAATATCCACCCACACATGCCAATTGTAGCCTTTACAATTTATTTTTCTTATATTTCATTAGGGAGCTTCCTCTGAAGAATTTGTGTTTAATTTGGAAATTAACATAAATGGATTATCTTTATGAAAGTTATTGAGTTTTTGGTGTTTGTTTTTGTATGTATTTTTGCATAATAATTTTTTCCTCTTAGGTGTCTGTTGTTGATGTTGTAGTACTGGCAATTACAGTTCAGAGACTAAAAATGAAAACCTTTATGTGTCATGGTGCAAAAAGTAAACCAAAACACCAAACTGTGTTGAAGCATCAAACATAATATAACATAATATAAAACAAAGAGGAAGAGAGATTCTGTCGTTGTTCAATCATTCATTGCCAACAAGAGTATGCATATACATACCTTGTTTTGAACAACAAATAGGAAGTCTAAAAGATGTCAGCTGAATTGTAATGAAGCTACATGTATACAGTTATATGTCCTAAATGACACCTAGTTCTTTTAGCAAGAAAGTAGAAATTTAAGAGAGAGAACCACCCTCACATCTTCTTCCCTTTGACCACATCTGGGATAGTTTCTCTCATCGGAGTCAAGCTGAGGAGCAAAACATGGCGCTCGTAAGCTTTTGAAGCACGGAAATGGTTATCTGTGCCATGAAGACGATCCAAAACACCAAGAACTCCAAAGTTGTTGGTGAACCTATAAAAAATTATAAATAAATATATGCAAAATAGTCACATTCCAAATAGTCACATTCCAAATGGTCTTTTCAGTTCACATTTGTTTCTCTGGGTTCACAACTCTGCAATGTTTCAGAAATACAGCATTGCCAACCCTGAGTACATATACACTGAGTATAGGTCATGAATGAGGTTCAAGACTACTACCACTGTCTCACATTCTTGTGCACATAACTTATATGACATTTCACACAATATCTGTTTGAAAAAAAGTCTTGTAAAATACTGTGACATCTTCACAAAGATACATACTTGAAGTGGTGAAAGTCATGTGCCTCAGGTGAGGGTAGGAAGGGCAGGTGGTATCCACAGTGTGACACAGTGGTTGACAACAGTGCCAGGACAAGCCACAGGTAAGAAGTGGCCATGTGGGATCCCATGATGGTCGGCCCCATGAACACTGGTAACATGTTACTGAAGATGTGTTCAATGGGGTGGGCGTACAGTGCTATGATCCCTATGGGGGCAGTCCACTCATGGTGACGCTTGTGGATCAGGCGGTAAATGCGGGGGTGATGAAAGGTCCTGGATATTGAACACATAATTACACAAGTTTTAAGTTATGAATGTTCTAATGTATTTTCAACAGCGAGCCCCCTACTGCTTATAATAAATGTTCATCTGACTGAAGTTTTAGTTTCTCACAATATCTTATGTTGTTCAAATATTTATGTATATTATTAATTTTACATAGCAGTGGAATTCATTAAACATTTTTCCTCTAGTTAATAATGAGGGGGGTGAAACAGTGAAATTTCTCTTTTTTCTTAAAGAAGGTATTTCATTTTATAAATCATGACAGGTATTACTGTTAATTCTTTTATCATAAATCTTTGATTTTTTAAATAATCCAATACAATGCAGCCTTACCTGTGTGAGTAATAAAAGAAAAACTCCTCCGCCAGTGAAAACACCAGTAATTCCAGAAGCACCCACTGAAACGTTGGAAGACTTTCAGGCGTGTACTGACAACCTCTCCATCTCATCACCACAAACCACAGAGCACAAACTGGGAGTCCAATCACCATCTGGTTGAACAATACTGTGAGCACTGCATTCTTCAGCTTTTTGCGGTCCACCTGATGTAAGGCAGAACCTTTGATTAGAATATTTTTCACATGTGTGTGTGTGTGTGTGTGTTGGTGTGTGTGTGTGTGAATGTAAAACAATAATTTAGGGAAGCTGGGCAAAGGTTGTGTTAGTAACTAGCTGTGCCCTGCCTTAAATTTCTCAGTCTCGAGAATCTAAGGAACTGACTGCACATGTTACAGGATAAAATATAGAAAATTCATTCAATTAACATATATTTAAGTAAACAGTTTGAACAAATTTATAAGGTATTCTAATGTGAATGTCATTTATTAAAACAGGTACATGGCATCAAGCAGACCTTAACAAACCAGGTCACATCAATTCTTTACGATCTCATTCCCAGAGACAACATTGGTCAATGTAGATTGATCCAACTCTGCAGGGACTCTTGCTGAGTGCAATCAGCTTAATTGAATGACACGCCTCCTCTTGTTTTCAAACATATCAGGATAAACACACAGCTTTTCTGTTTTCTACTGTACTTAAAACCCAGGAGGAGGCATGTTAGTCAGTTAAGCTGTTTGCACTCAGCAGAAGTCCCCACAGAGTGAGATTGATCTACATAGATCGATAGTGTCTACGGGAGTGGGTCCTATGACTACTTACAGGGACGTTAGCATCTGGCTGTATCTTATACTTGAGCACACTCTGTGGAAACCCTGTAACATCCACTAGCAGGAACAATGCATTGAATGTCCAGAATACTACCAAGGCAAGCAAATTAGCACCTGCAAATGATAAAAATTTGAGAAAAAAAATTTTAAAGGATTTAAAACAGATATGAGACGTGGAAACTTGCAGCTAATAAAAGATTGAGTTCCCTTAAATGCCGTTATATATAGATAGTATTTCGATATTGAATGTCACTCCAGTACTGGCTTTCAAGTATTGATACTGTAAACTTTTTGAAGATCTTAGCCTAAGCGTTTCCCTTTTAATTTCACCATATTGTTAAGGTCATCATATGATGCTGTACTATAACATACCTGGCCACTGACAAATGTGTATGTTGAAGTTAAAGTTGGCAATACATATTTATCTCAGGAATTTAATAGTCATTTTCTCTTATTAACAAACAAGCAAATAATATAGCCTACCGATTACTCCTATGACAAACTCATTTCCATCACAGAAATTGTATATTTTCTCCCACTGTCTTTGCCAAAAATCTCCTGATGCACCCCACACTTGTTGTAAATGCCTAAAAAATAAATACAATGTCAAAAACTGAATATAAATATAAAGTCAAAGACTGAATGCAGTATAAAAACAGAACTGCAGTATATAACAGTACTGCCAATTTAACTAATTCTTTTTAACTTTTTAAAAATAACATAGGTCAGACATGGCAAAAACTAGCTGGGGCAAAAAATCTACTTTTAGGTACACTCCACACTTTGGGTGAAAAGGAAATCATTTTCAGAACTTTGGAATCAAATGTCCTTCTATTACTGCAGCAGAAGCAATTCCTGAAGGTTTAGACCAAGTCACCATGTGAATTGTAGTAGTAACTATAACTCAGTCCATCATCCAGTTCTACAAGATTGGTAGAGTAACAATAATCTTACCAAGTCACAGAATTCCTAAAAGCAGCAAAAGTAATGAGAGCTGAGCCTATGATCCATGCTGCCTTTCTCACGGAGTCTACCAGGCGTACTGCCTTCTGTGGAGGACTAGACTCTGTAGCAGTAGCAGGACCTTCCTGGGCCAGCATGATGATCTGCAAGGGAAAAAACATGTAAATTTTATTTTGAATTTTTTTTATTGAATTCAAACTAATTAAAGGGTAACAAAAGCAAAAATTGAGAACATTTTTTGGCACTTTTCCAGTATTTCCCCCCCCCCCCCCCACCATATATTTAATATCTTTCTCAAATTTATTTGTGTGATTACTTTGAGCAATGTCTCCACCATTCCAAAAAATTAGTTTGGAAGTTCATATAAAAATTAAAGATGCATTAACATAAACCTTGATGCCATCCAAATTTAGTGAGAGCCAGGACTGTTACTGCATGGGGTGAAGATTTGCTCAGTGTTAAAAGTGCATATTACTGTTTAATACACAAGAAAAAAAATATCAGCAAATTTCTAAATTAAATAGCACGAACACAGATTGAAGTCACGAAGTCGCCTAATTTTGATAAACATTTAAAATAAGAGTGACTGGGTGGTACACTGCAATTACGTACCTTTATTTTTTATTTTTTTTACTCTTTCCCCGATCTTAAATTCCCTTCTCGATTTCAATCCACTATAAATATGTTTATTTTTTGTTAATGCACGATCACACAGGGATGCATGTGAACAAATTAAATCCGCTGCATTAATAGCAAAAATATGTATACATATCAATGTTTATCTATATATATTTACGAGATTTTTTCTTTGTTGGTCCAAAGTCCGTATCACATAATTATCATTACATTACCGCAGTCCAAAGTCCATTTCATATGTCAGTTTCAGGCATGAGTATATTCTCGTTAAAACTCCTTCGAACATCGTCTCAAAATGCAAAATACACATGCACACAACACCAGAGTCATAGATACTCTTTTTGTACGGCACAACTTTTCTAAACAGTCCATAAACATACCTTTTTAACCAGCTCTAGTGTTACGTCGTCGGATTGTTTTTATTTTGCAACCAAGCAAGCATGCGCACCTATGTAGGTCAAGGTCGTAAGCGAAGGCTGCATACGTCATTTCAGTACACAACCAATCATAGTGGTCTATTACCTGCCCTCGCCCCACCCTGCCTCTCACAGTTCTTAAGTGAGTATTTTAATATAATTTTTTTTAACGGGGGAGGCAAAATGAACACAAAAAGCAATGTTCGTAAATCGTAATAAATATGGTCATTGAAAATGGAAAAACAGCGAGACAGCTGGCTAATGTGCATTTATTTGTTTGTAAAAAGTCTTGAGTTTTTTTAATCTAAATGAAGGAATCTAATATAATTATAGTCTTTGTCTAAGTCGATTCGAATTCGAATTTGAAATTTCGTATAACAGATGTAAATAATGTGAATTTAATGTTCTTATTCGAACTCAAATTAAAAAGTTAATTCATGTGACGGATGGATATAATGTAAATGTAGTGGTCTTGAGCACGTTTTCCCCAGTGTTTTCCCTAATTCAAGACAGGGTCACTTTCACTTTCCTTTCTCTTTGTCCTTTAGACATTCAGGCAAATTAGCATTGGCCAGGCTGGTGTAAAGCTGAGAAGCCTTATTAATCACTTACACAGTTATTTATTCACACAGACATCCCAAAATTAATTATAATTCTAATTAAAATGCTTCATTACAATAACTGCATTTAATTAATATTATTATATTATTTTTGGAGGGAGAGATAATTAATTAAAGTTATTAAGCTACAGATGGTTAGAAATCGAGAGCGTTCAGAGTACAAAGCCCGAGAGCGGAAACGTATTAAACTTTATAAGCTGATTGTAGTGCTATGCGCTTTTCTAAAAACAAAAAACACACAAAAAAAACGAATGAAGAAAAAACAATTAATTGTAGATCCCTAGGCGCACGGGTAAGGCAACGTGTACTGGAATACGCCACGTGCAAGTACGATCCGTCTACGTAAAATTTACAGAAATGATGGACTCTAACGTTTTCCCATATTTCAAAGTTGGGCATTCAATAATTAAGTCACTGAATAACTGTTAACATCGGTGCAACAGGTAAAGCAGGTCAAACCGCTAATGCGCATGTTTGAAAAGAATCACCACATTCCCAGAATTCTATCGTAATAACATAACTTCCGCATTGCATGGATGAGTCTTACAACTTATTAAATTCGCCGATAAAAGTAATTTATGTTCAGGTAAGACCCTTAAAGATATAATAGTTCTTTACGTAATTCAAATGAAACTGTCTGTGTGTGTTTTATTTGGAGTGCAGTTTGTTAATGTGTACAAAAATAACACTAAAAAGTAGGACGTTCCCTAATTCTGCCGCTGTAGGATGTCTAGTAATTATGACGTTTTTTTGTGTTAACCGCTTCTGTAGGATAGTCTAGTTATACAATGATTTACAATAGTTCGACACAAGTAAAACGGTATTATGTCTTTTTATCGTAAAGAAAAAAGCCGTTATTAGTTTGATTTTCATATGTATTATATCAATATACAGTATATTTTGAAATCACTGGTGAGTAACATGCAATAATTGCCATATTAGTCCATTATATTGAACACTTTTTAAAAGAATGGGGAAACAGAAGCGAACCAACTGTTTACTCATGCAGATCCCTCAGGTTATTAGGCATTGACTGTATAGTTGGATATTTTTTCTTACAAAACCTATGTTATTTGTTTATGTTAAATATTCAAAATAGAGGTAATAAGATGATATTTGGATGTGTTAGAATATTAGTTTTGTGGGCAGTCCATTCTATATTATTAAACAAGGTTCTTTTGCCAATTGCTATATGCTATGCCCCCCCCCCCCCCCACAAAAAAAAGAAAAAAATGAATGAATGTGTGTGAGTGTGTGTCTGTCTGTGTTTGTGTATGTGTGTGATCTCATCAGATATAGGTCTCTCTCTCTCTCTCTCTTACGTCAATGTTTCTTCTAAAGTGTAAAGGCGCATCTGTGTTTGTGTATGTGTGTGATCTCATCAGATATAGGTCTCTCTCTCTCTCTCTCTCACGTCAATGTTTCTTCTAAAGTGTAAAGGCGTTGCAGTCTTAATAGATACCTTTTCAACATAAAAGTTAAATTTAAATCTGAAATGGTACGAAACATATCCAAATGCAAGTCAGAGGGGGGGGGGGGAGCAGTGTTTCATCAGAAGAAGGAAATTGCTTTTTCTCCACTGCAACAAGATTTGGCATCAAAATCCCTTATAGTATACCTCTTAGAGGGAGGAAGTGGTCCAGGATTTGTTATTGCAGATATAACCACACGTCTGTTGATATGTTACCAGTATGTGCTGCCTGGGAAGATTATGTAATATACTGCAAGTGAGGATAATGTAAAGTATTGCGAGTGAGGATCATGTTATGTACTGCCAGTGAGGATCACGTTATGTACTGTCAGTGAGGATCATATTATGTACTGCCAGTGAGGATCATGTAATATACTGCCAATGAGGATCATGTAATGTACAGCCAATGAGGATCATGTAATGTACTGCCAATGAGGATCATGTTATGTACTGCCAATGAGGATCATGTTATGTACTGCCAGTGAGGATCATGTTATGTACTGCCAATGAGGATCATGTTATGTACTGCCAGTGAGGACCATGTTATGTACTGCCAGTGAGGATCACGTAATGTACTAGCTACCAGTGAGGATCTTATAGTGAACTGCCAGTGAGGAGCATGTACTAGTAATGTATTGCCAGTCAAGATCATGTAATGTACTGCCAGTGAGGATCATATAATGTACTGCCAGTGAGGATCATGTTATGTACTACCAGTGAGAATCATGTAATGTACTGCCAGTGAGGATCATGTAATGTACTGCCAGTGAGGATCATGTTATGTACTGCCAGTGAGGATCATGTAATGTACTGCCAGTGAGGATCATGTTATGTACTGCCAGTGAGGATCATGTAATGTACTGCCAGTGAGGATCATGCAATGTACTGCCAGTGAGGATCTTATAGTGTACTGCCAGATAGGAGCATGTTCTAGTAATATACTGCTAATCAAGATCACGTAATGTACTGCCAATGAGGATCATATAATATACTGCCAATGAGGATCATATAATATACTGCCAGTGAGGATCACGTAATGTACTGCCAATGAGGATCATATTATATACTGTCAGTGAGGATCACGTAATGTACTGCAAGTGAGGATCTTGTACAGTAATATACTGTCAGTGTATTACCAGGATGTTGTAAGGGGGCATGTTTGTTTTTCTCCTTTTTTTTCTAACAAACATTCCCCATGTTTTATCTGTATAGGTTAATGTATTTGTACAGTTATGTGCAGAATCACACAAGAGCAGCCCAGATGAAGTATTTAGATCTTATTTTTTTATATTAAAAGGCTTGAATTGAAGTCAAAGTAAATGAAAAAAAATTCTCATTTTTATCATTTTCGCTCAAAATCTTGACTTTAAAATTTTTTTAGCTATATGAATGTAAAACAAAATTACCCCAGAGTGAGTGAGTGAGTAAATGCAAAGTGGTGTCTAGTGACTTTTTCTGTGATAGATTTCACCATAGTTGGAGAAAATATGGTATAGTGTTATGTGTATGGAAGAGTGCTGGTTTAACTTCTGTGACAAATGATTAAGTCATGGTGTGAGCTACTAGTCTTATGAACTTTGGCATAATAACAGTTTCCAAGCCACTTATGTAGTTTACATACAATAAAATAATAAAATGCTTAGAGATCAGGTTTCACTAAATATGCCAATTTTTACTGTCAGAAAAAATTCTGATGTCAATGGCACAGAATGTAGAAGGTAAATGTTTTAAAGGGTCATTTTTGTTGCCTACAGGATACTAATATATAGTATATAGATAAAGCTGGGTTAGTTAAACAGTTACATGGATATCCAAAAGTGAACATAAAGTTGATAAGAGTTTGAGATAAAGGGCACTTTTATCTCATTTCTTGAGGTTATATATTGTCTGCTGATGGCGTGTGTAATTTTGACATAAATGACTGGTTGCAGTCCTTAGTCAAGGGATCTTTACTTAATTCCAAACACCTCGAACATTTAAAAATCATTTTTGTTCGATAGATAGATGAGTTTTATGAATTCACCAACAGTTTTTTTTTTCATGTATGTCCAGCTTTTGTGAACTACCAACACAAGTTTCTCAAAACCTCTGAAGAAATTATTTTGTAAAAAAAACTATAAAACAGTCTTAAATAGTTTTAGATTGAATGCAAGCATACACCAATATGTCAACAAATCGTTGGAAGTCTTAGGGACATTGCTCATGTTAAATCATTCAAGTTAGTGATTTGAATAAAATAAATGCTATTTTATTTAAACCTGTTGTGGAAAGTGGAAAAATACAACCACAGTATCTTATCCCATTTAAGTGAAAACTGTACTGTTGTTGGCTTTTCTTGGTATGCCATATTTGGGATGTAATGAAAAAACAAAAACAAAAGACATGTATGAGTACTTGTGAGCTGTCCCCTGATAATAATAATGTCACAAGCATGAGCCTAGATAATGAAAAAGATACAGAATAACTCAAAGAAATAATGTTTATTGGATCAAGACTATTGGGTGTTTACCTGCGAAATTGATATATTTGACAAAAAGGTTAAAAAAACTGCATGCTTTGTAGTATTTATAACTTTTAACCAGGAAGTGAATTTTCTTTTTTTTTTGGTTTACCTATATGTGTCCTACCAAAATAAGTATGCTAAGTAGGTACATCCCATGTATTCTCCTGATTTTTTATAACTTCAAAGTTAAATGTCCCCTTTTTCAGAATTATTTTCAAAAGGGACACCAAAATAATTATTAGAAGTTCATAACACAACTTTGAGCTATCCTCTACCAGGGTGGCAGATATCACAGGTGACTTTCCAAAAGCCAGACAGAGAATCAAATGAGCGTCTTTTTATCTAAAGATATATCTGTGAATATCTTGTGAAAAATCAATCTGTCGCCTTGGTAGAGGGTAACTTTGAGATATATATATTCTGACTTATAAGTTACATTTTTGAAGATAATTTTTT